GAGTTTCCAGCCCCCAGTCTGTCTTACAAACATCAAACTTACTAGCTCACAGAAGCAGTGGCATGGATAGAGATAGACAGATAAAAATATCTGTCATGAGGCATTGATTTATGTGGTTATAAAGGCCAAGAGGTCCCAGGATCTGCCACTAGCAAGCTGGAGGCCCAGGAGAGCCAATGGTGTAGCCACAGTCCAAACTCAAAAGCCTGAGAGCAGGGGAGCAAATGGGCCAGGCCCAGTGGCTAGTGTCTGTAATCCTAACATTCTGAGAGCCCAAGGCAAGTGGATTACTTGGGCTCAGGAGTTGGAGACCAGAGTGAGCGAGATCCCATCTCTACTAAAATTAGAAAAACTAGTCAGGTCTATTGGTACACGCCTGTAGTCTCAGCTACTCAGGAGGCTGAGGCAAGAGGATTGCTTGAGCCCTGGAGTTTGAGGTTGCTGTGAGTTATTTATTATTTTTTTTTAGAGACAGTCTCATTTTGTAGCCCTTGGTAGAGCACCATGGTGTCACAGCTCACAGCAATCTCCAACTCCTGGGCTTAGACAATTCTCTTTCCTCAGCCTCCCAAGTAGCTGGGACTATAGGCACCTGCCACAAGCCCGGCTTTTTTTTTTTTTTTGTTCAAGCCCGGGGCTAAGTTTGAGCCTGCCACCCTCGGTATATGGGGCCAGCGCCCTACTCACTGAGCCACAGGCACTGCCCGGTTGCTGTGAGTTATGATGCCGGGGCACTCTAGCCTGGGGCTAAGAGTGAGATTATGTCTCCAAAAAAAAAAAAGAAAGAAAAGAAAAAAAAAGGAGCAAATAGTGTTAAGCTGTAGTTTGGTCTGCAATCACAAGGAAGAGGAAGCAATCCTTTAGAGGGCAAGAGTGTAGTTATAAAATAGGTAAGCCTCAGCCACGGTATAGGTGCATGGACATGCAGAAAAAGTGGGGTGCCCAGTGGTAACCCTCCAAGGCACAAGCAGGGTTATATAGCCAATGTCCAGGTATGTGGTCATGGAGAAGGACTAGGAGGGCCAGTGCAGCAAGAGGCCTGAAACATACCGTATAGCTGTCAAAAGGGCTGAGTGGTAGAAAAGCTGTGCAATACCAACCTGGGAAAGGTACAGCAGCAGCAGGAGTCACGGCACTGGTGTCCACGTTGAGATGGCAGCAGGAAAATGATTACAGTAGGCTATAGCTATGAGGACGCCAAGGATGACACATTCTGGGTCTGTGGCTGGCATTGCCAGCAAATAATTCTCACATCCACACTGCTAACCCACCGTAAACTGATTAGAGCAGGAGAGCTCTTTGAATTTAAAAAATACCCTCCCATTCTGATGTCTACGTAACTGGGTTCAACACAAAGTATTCTATTCTACACTAGCAGTATAGCTATAGCGCCCTCTACTGAGAATGCTCAACATGTGTTTACTGCAACAGAGAAATGCCTAAAAGGAATCCTGTTATTTCTGAATATGTACTGAAGGCGAACTTGAAGGTGATGGGCGATACACTGGGAACTGGCACATTCCAACCCCCTGGTTGCTCAGTTTCCATATTCACCCCTTGACACACCTGAACTCCCCTCCCCAAAGCAAAACAGCTCTATTTTTACCTAACAAGATACACCATTCTTGTTAGTGAAATTCTCAAGCTCATCCAAAGGCAGATGGCCCAGAGGCTTAAGTCATTGCATCCTTCATGGATCCCATTAACGATTCCTGAAATTCAGTAAGGCCCCCCCTTGACTATTTCATTACCTAAAAATAAGAAAAAATGACCTCCATTAAACTTCAAAATAGGAACTAGAACAGAAAAAAGGGAACGGAGTCGCAAATCAACGTATGCACGTGATAAATATGGAGAAACGTGCAAAGCTACTACAGACCTTGTTTCTATAATTGGCCTCCAGGTTTGAGCTCTTCAATCACCAACTACAAATTTCTCTCACCCTCTGCCAAAAACCTCAGAGGCTTTACCTCAGTTCTTTAGCTGGTGGGGTGGCCCAAACTTTTACTCTCCCAGGGTCTGGACCCTGAACCACCCTATTTTGCTGTTTTATCACCCAACAAATGGGACACGTAGAATAACGGCCCCACAGCCTGATCCTTAGAGACCGTGAATAAGGTGTGTTATAAAACAAATGGGAATTAAGACTGCTGGGTTAAAATAGGGAGATTATTTTAGATTTTCTTAAATCCAGTTTAATAATAATGGTTCTTAAAAAGGAAGTAGGCAGAAAAGAGAACCAGAGGTGGTGGTGTGAGGACTCATCTCAACACTGTGGACTGTGAAGTTGGAGGAACAAAGCCACGAGCTAAGGAATGGGGGCTGCCTCTGGAAGCAAGGAAACAGATCGTGCCCTTAAAGCATCTAGGATTACATCCTTGCTGACACTTTGGTCTTGGTCCAGGGATACCAATCCTGGATCCTTGACCTCTAGAACTGTTAACATAATAAACTTCTTTTTGTTCTAAGACTTTTAGGTTTGTGGAAATTCTTTAAAGAATAGAAAATGAACACAATTTTTATCTCTGAAGATTAGTGGGAAATGATCCATAAAGGGAAGAAATTGACACACAAAACGATAGCCAGAGTCACTGAATATTTTTTATTTTTTATTTGAAATAACAATATAACCAATTTAGAAATGGCATTACGACCACTTGTCACACACTCAGCAATTTCCTTACAGGACCATGATGGATTTCACTCAAGATCGTCCCCCTCGTGGATACCTTTACCATCCCCCTCACTTCCTCAATTTGCCCTGCATTTATGAGAGTGACAATGTGGAAGAACAGCATGCCCAGTATATAAAACCCGTAACAAAAAATTTTAAATCTTTTCAACTATTGGCTACTTCATATTTCAAAATAAAATAACTTTATTTCACTCTAAAACTCCCATTCTGAGATGGCTCACACTTGTAATCCTAACACTCTGAGAGGCCTAGGAGGGTGGACTGCTTGAGCTCAGTTCGAGATCAGTCTGAGCAAGAACAA